TGGCCTCTGGGCTCTGTCCTGCTGGCTGCAGCCTCCCCAGCTTTCTTCCCAGGTAGGAGGGCCAGGGAGTTTCACTTCCTACACGAGGTGGGATGAGGGTGTGCGCCCAAGGGGGTGAGGCTCAAGGCAGTGGTGGTCTGGCCCTGGGAAACATCCCCTTTCCCAGTAGTGACCGACAGCAGCAGACCCTGTGCAGGCACTGAGCCACCGCAACACACACCCAGGGTCAGCACTGTCTTCCTAGCAGTAACAGGGTTACAGATTTTCCACCCACTTGGCTAGGGACAGCCAGACAGTGAGTCACAGCCCCAGGGACCATGCCTGGCAAGCCAGGACCTGTGTTCAAGAATCGCCCTCCTCCATGAGCAACCTGGCCCCTTCTCCTCCTGTGAAAACCTCCTTCCAGCCATCCCACCTGCCCCCACATCCTCAGAGCACCCCAAGACCTAGCTCTTCCTTTCCTCGCATCCTTCTTTACACCTCCTTTTTCTCCCAACCGCTCTGCTCCAAAACAGCTCATTCCCTATCTCAGCCACTTCTAACGGCCTGGCCTCTTACAGAAAAGTCCTGCTTTCCTCCTACCCTTCCTCCGTCTCCAAGAAACAGCGAACAGCTTCACCCCTGCCTCTCCCTCTCCCAGCAGCCACACCTGGGGACCCTGGAGCAATGGGGAGCCGATTCACCCCTTCCTGCCCTCAGGTGAAGAACTCGGCTACAGCATCAGGTCAGGAGGTTGCAACCAAGCTTGCTTGTCCTGGCAGTTCCCTGTTCCATGCACAGCCCTTGGCTGTCACCCCCTCACCTCATCTTGGACGTACAGTAGCTATATGGACTGCCCTACATTCCTGTGCCCCTGCGGAGAGACCCACGTGCTGCCCCTGGGTTGCAGAGCTCAGCGGGGAGGAGGATGGCAAGACAGGGACTGCCCTGTGCTGCAGGGAGAGCCCAGCTCACCGGTGGCCAGTGCAGGTTTGCTACAGGGCACTAGCATCAGCTAAACCTACAGGGAAGAAAGCAACTGGGCACACGACAGCCCTGCCAAGGCCAGGCCTCTCTGTCCCAAAACAGCCCCCCCATCTTCATGCCTCCATCCTGGCCTCTGCAGAGATGGAGGGAACAAGCTAGGAGGGTTGAAGATGTCTAATGATGGTGGAGTCGGCACGCCTGGAGTGAAGACAATCCCCTGCAGGCCTGGTCCCCAGGGATGTGCAAGGGCAGGCTGGGGGTGGGGGCACACAAGGGGACGGTGGCCCATCACCCTGGCCTGGGGGAGTGGGCAGCTCCTCGCAGATTCTTCCTGCTCTTGCTGGCCATGGGACTGGAGCTGGGCCACGTGGCCAGGCACTCCTCTGCAGGCGTCGCGGTGCCCTCGCGCGCCGGGAGGGTTGGGGGACTGGCGTGGAGTTCTTGCCGAGGAAGGAGGGATGGTGTGGAGGAAAAGTCGGAAGATACAACACAAACATCCAGGTGATTGCGGTGGAGGGGAAAGAGGGAGTCTCGGGAGGCATTTAAGCCTAGTGCACAGAGAGGAGAAAGACACAATTTACAAGGCCGTGAGGTTGTAGGTCACCCAGGGAGCAGGTGGGGCAGGGCCTAGGCTGCATGCAGAGACAACGGGCCACGTCTGGGCAGGGAGGCAGTCTTGTGAGCCTGAAACAGCAGGCTCACATCTTTGCCAGCATGCTTTAGCAGGCTGGCAGGAACAGCTAGCTCGGGGAGGAACAGCCTGGGTCTCCTGCTCTGAGGGCTCCCTGCTCCTGGGCCTGTGGGGTCAGTACCACTGAGCTGGTGCCATCCTGGCTCTCACGGCCCAGACCCTGCCTCTCCCAGCCCAGCTACCTGGGCAGCAAGTAGCTGGTCCAGGCCCTGGGGTGCTTCCAGAGCTGCCCTTGGCAGCAGGGCACAGAGATTGCTGGCGGCTCCCGTGGCCCTGCCTGCAGCAGCTGACAGCTAAGGGATGGCGACAGAGACTGCCCTGAGGCAGCACGTCCGAGGTCTCCAGACCAGCACAGGGAACAACTGGCCATGACAGACAGGAGCAGCGGGAGCTGCCTCAGCCTTCTTTCTGGGGGAGCTGCAGCCCAGTGCAGGGCTGCTGGCTGGGGAGAGGAGGCTGGCTATGTGTGCAGCAGGCTGGAAAAGGCACTGAGCATCATGTGGCAGCAGCCATGTCCCCCAGGGTGTTGGGCTAGCCCTCAAACCCTCTACAGCTGGCTGGGCCAGGGAAGCCCTGCCAAGCCCCCTTGGGAAGTGTCATATGAGCATGGACTAGCCCCCTTGGCTGGGTCAGGCTTGGGGAGAGGGTGGTGTTGCCTGCTTGCCTTAAGATGACCAGCTCAGAGACTGTCTGGAAGGTCTCCCAGGCCATCACCAGTACAAAGTGATCACCCAACACCAACCACAGCCAGGAGGAACTGCAGAGTGACACCAGCCAGAACAGGGACCAGGTGATCCTAATCCAAACCTGCAGCCCTCCCTCTGTGCTTGTCTAGCCCCCCTACTAATGGGGAGTGCCAGGGCCCAGGGTTAGTGCCTTGCCAGGGCTAGGACCCTCTTCACTCCTGATGCCAAGAGCTGGGACAGAGAACAGCCCTGCATCTGGCAGAGCTGCCAGGTCCCCTCGAAGCTCTGCTCCCCACGTCCCCTCCAGCCACCATCTAGGTACAATCCACAATCAAGAGAGCCAGCAGGCTTCAGGCTTGGGTGCTGAGGGGCTGTCATGGCAACAGGGAAGAGGAAGGAGGAAGGGAGGGAGCTCATGCGGGTGGGGATGGAGCTGAGCCAGGTAGGGAAGGGTTAGTGACAGCAGATGTGAGGGGGGAGCAAAGGACTCCGTGTGCTCAGTGTGTTGCCTGTGCCAGGCCGCAACAATCCCTGGGTACCCAGCTACACTACGCTCTTAACTAGAATTTGCAGGAGGAATAGTAAGCATTAACAGCTCTAGCAGCCCTCGAACCAAGCACCCACCAGTACCATGCTCACTTGCTGCCTCTTCTCCATCCTCCTCCTTGCAGAAGGCAAAAGGCGCCTGTCCCAGACCTGGACCGCTACCTTCCTCCAAACTCAGCGCTAGTGACCAAAGTGCCCCTCAGTCTAAGAGCAGGCCTAGACAGGCTCAGGTCACCCTGTCTGTACCTCAGCTAACACCAGCCTCTTCTGCCACCACTGGTCAGCCTGGCCTAGCATCCTGCTAAGACCTGCCTTTTACCACCTCTGCTTGGCCAGAGCCCGCGGAGGGCAAGAGACCAGGAGAGGGGGACAGCAAAGAACGCTGGTTGCAGGCTATTCCCATGCCCTGCAGTCACTCAGTCACAGACACACCAGGCACATACACACACACAACCCACCCCAGGCTCAGCATTGCCTGTGGCGCAGTGCAGGACAGGCAGCCAAGTTGCTTGCAGAGGCTGCATAGGCCTGAGACGGGGCTGATGCTCTCAGCCAGGGCCTCAAGAGGGGAGCAGCAGGGAGAGATGTTAATAAGGTTGCAAGGCTAATATTAAGGGCAGACCAGGACCAGCTCATGCTGTGCATTGCCAGGGCCTGGCAGCCCCCTGGAAGCAGGAGCCCTCAGTTGGGAATATCTGGCCTGTACGCCAGAAGCCAGGCCCAGACACACACCTTTGCAGGCTGGCTGGCTCGTGCCAAGAAAGAGGGGAAGGAAGTGTGCAGGGAACGAACGGAGGCAGACAAGGATGCCACGACAGGCCACGCGGGGACAGCCCTGAGCCAGACTGTCCCTTCCCTCTGGCAGCCAGCTGAGGCCATTCTTGATGGTGTCTTGTACTTACCCCGCTCCATTCCACGCCCATACTCACTTCCTCGCTACCGTCTGTGGCATTCTCGTACTTGACGCTGCCCCCCAGGCTCCGACGTCTCTCTGTGCCATCACCCTCCTTCAGGATCTCCACCACTTTTGTCTGGTTGATCGGGTCAATACCCTCCAAGTAGAAAGGGATAAGGAAGCACCATGTTTTGCCCTTCTGTGTTCTTTCACTCTAGCGATTTGCTGTGCCATCACTGTGCTTGGCCCCAAACCCTCTCTTGGCCATTGCCCCATCACAGCCAAAACTCTCCAGCACAAGAAGGATGGAGTCAAATGCCATCCTGCACTTAGCAGTCCCTGTTAGGGTTCCCAGCTCAGTGAGCCCCCCACTAAGCTGTAAACCACCCTGGGGGACCAGGGCTTGCTACCCCAAAGCTAGCAGCTTTTTTCTTCACATTTTGGTGTGTGAAGGTTTCTGCTGTCCTTCAGTCTTTGTTCTAGGTGCTTGCAGCTCCTGCTTTATTATTTGAGGACTGAGAGGAGTTTAGGGTGAGAGGTACTCTAAGAAATCCCTAGTGTGTTCTGTAGACAAAAAATTAGTGGGAAGAAAATATCCCAGCGAGTGCAGATCTCAGTAGCTGACAAAGCCCAGTAACCTGGCCTAACCCAGCTGCAGTATTTTGCAGAGAGCCATGTCTTCTTCCCCACACACACTAACATCTACTCCATCCATGCACACATGCACAACCCCACATGTACGTGTACCCCTGCACAAATGCAAGCCCAACCACCAAGGTGCTCTAGTGTCACAGGAATATAAACCAAAGATAGCGGAGGCTGCAAGGCCCAGGAGAGTCCCTCACCACACCCCAAGCTAAATGCTGCACCATGACCTGCCACTGCAAGACCCACAATGCCCCCTCCACTAAGGAAGGCCCCTCTGGGGTTACCTGCCGCCGAGAGCGAAATGCACATTCCTCCAAGGTCTCGGCTGCCTCCAGCTTGCCCTGGCGTCGGTACAGTGCACCCAGGTTCCTCAGAGTGGTGTTCACAGTTGGGCTGTAGCAATAGATGAAAGGTGAGCAGGAGCCCTGGGGCCACCCCCTCCAGATTCCCACAGCTGCCCACAAACCATCTCTTACCTGCTAACCTTACAGGCCTTGTACCAGCCGCCATACTCAGCGTAGGGAGCACCATCTCTGTGCTTGCTCTACAGGGTGAGGAGAGATGAGAGCCATTAGCCCCATGCCTACTGCTGTTCTCTGGCCTGTGCTCTCCCACTGGGTGCCAGGGTCAGGCCCCAGGCCACACCCGCCTGGCCTTTGGAAACGCAATGTGCAAATGCAGTGATGTAGCCCAGCGGGTTCCTGGAGGGAAAGCTGAAAGCCCATTTGCTGCAACAGATTTGGGCCACAAGTAGAAGTGATGTCCCCACCCCAGCAAGGAGCATAATCCCATCTCCTTGCCCCTTCCATGGTACCACAGGCAGCAGGGACAACACAGCCCATCCTCTTGGTACCCTGGAGGATATGACACCCCACCCTCCCCCAGTATGCAAAAGGGGGACAAAAAAAAATACCCCAGCCAACAAAACCCCCACAGGCATGCCAGGCAGCATGGGCACTAAACCCCTCAGCCATGGTGAGCAAAGGAATGGGCCAGCCACATCTAAGCCTTCTGCGTAGAAGGTCAGGCCTGTCCCACAGCAGCTCAGCCCAGCTAGCTCCTCTCCATGCCCAGCCTTTGCACCCCAAAGCTGGCTGGCTGGCCCTGCCACAGCCAGGAGCAAAGAGGCTGCTGGACAGAGCAACAGGAGAGGGGGCAGAGCTTGATGCTCAAGGAGAAAGACCTAGGGCCAGGACAACCCACTGCAGGGCACTAGCTGCTAGCCAGCATTGCCCTGGGTCAGTAGGGACCATGGCACCTGCAGGCAGGAATCGCCACTGCTGCAGAAGCAGGGCTGCTGGTCCACAGACTGTGCACCCTGGTATGTGGCAAGCATTTGAGGGTGTGCCATGCCCCTGGCTCTGCACCCACAGGACACATTGGCTGGGCAGGAAACACCCAGCTCAGCCCCGAGCCCAAACAGGTGCAGAGGGCCACTGCTCCACAGCAGCAGTTTCCCTCTGGCAAGGGCTCTAGCCCCAAAGAAACTGCCTTCACAGGGAAGATTTTTCTTATTCAGTCCCACAGCACTTCTCAGATCTGGAGTCTGGAATCTCCCTGAGCCATAGGCACATGTGAGTTTCCTTATGCCAGAGCCTACACAGCCTAGGCAGGCCCTATGGACAGGAGAGCTCAGGACTCAAAACACCTCTGAAGCTTGCATATAGGCAGCCCTAAGAGGGTGGCTGAACCTGAGGGGAAAGGTGTCAAAGCCCCTGGGGCAGAAAGAGCCTTGCAGGACAGGGCTGCCAGCTGTGCCCAAGGCCCTGCTGCTGGCACAAGCTAG